AGGAGAACTGGTTGTGGGGTGTGTGTGTGTGTGTTTGTGTGTGTGTGTGTGTGTGTGTGTGTGTGTGTTGTCATGCCCTCTGTGTGTGTGTGTGTGTGTGTGTGTGTGTTGTCATGGCCGCTATACGGCAGTCCACCCAAAAAGGCATGACTGTGCCAGACTCTTACATTGAACTTTCACCTGCTCAGCAGGACGTTGAACCTGGACAGACAGTCTGCCCAGGATGCATTTGACTGTTGGGGGATAAGTACTCACAATGTTGCGTAGACAGAATTGGCGATACCCTTGAGAGAGTAAAGTGGTTGACTTTACTCACACCAACTCTCTGTGTATGCGTGTTTTTTTTTTTTTTTTTTTTTTTTTTTTTGTGTGTGTGTGTGTGTGTGTGTGTGCAGGGCGAGGAAGGTCAGCGAGCAGTTTTGGAGTCCTGTGCGGCAGCTGCAGAGGTAGGAGGGGGAGAAGCTTATCACACTGACATCCCACAATCGCCATGTACTCAAAAGCGCCGCAATTTCAGCGTAGACAGTCTGACAAACGCAAGTATGCCGACAGTGCGCTACATTCGGCTCGCGCGGTCAGTATGTGGCGATGCACTTACGACGTTTAATTGCAGCGTACACAATTAAACATGTGCAATTAATAAACGTCATAAGCACATCGCCACATACTTGCAGGGCAATACTCGCGACGCAGAGTGATGTCATGGCAGGAAGGGCGACAAGTGGCCGCCGTGCTTTTTTTTCCCAAATATTTTTGGGGAGTGTGCTAATGAAGGCTTCGTGCTCTGATTGGTCAGAAACTTGGGGGAAAAAAAGAGAGAGAAAAGAAAAGGAACACTGCAAATGGCAGCAATTAATCCTAAGGGTCTGTTTGTGATGAATGCAGAGACACGGAAAAAAAGAAAAAAAAAAACTGTTTATAAATTATAATGAGAATGCTATGATGAGGAATCCTGTTTGAGACTCATCATACTTCAGTGTCATCACCGCACTCCTCACCACATTTGCTAAGCAAAGAATGAATCTTCAGCTATAAAGTGGGAAGATGCACCCTCCGTAGTTTTGTTGTTTTCACATTTGGTGAGTGGTGATGTGAGGCCCGTAATATCATTGTGCCGTGATCACGAAAGCTATGAGTGCAAAAGGTAAAAAAAAAAAAAAAAGGAAAAAGTAAAAAGCCTCAAAAAGGAAAAGAAAAAAGAAAAAATAAGGCCTTTGGAATTCCACACAGGTAAATGCAAATGCAGACCTAAGGGCAGATCCCACTGGTGCTAATGTTCACGTGTACAAATCATGACTCTGGTCATTATTGTGGCCAGATTCATGCTTTCAATCACAAACATAGCATCAGGGGGGGTTGCCTCTTATGCATTCCAGATTTCTCCAAAGCGAGAAGGTAGGGCATGGCCCCGTCAAGACTATGTGTGCGAGTCAATCTTTGACTGTGTGCAAGCCAATCTTTGACTATCAATCCTCTGCACGAGACGGATGACACAAACAAGCCTGCTCGATCAGTCTTTGACTGTGTGACAAGTCAATCTTTGACTATGACTGTGTGACAAGACAGTCTTTGACTAAAACTATGTGTGACAAGACAATCTTTGACTATGATTATATGTGTGACAAGACAATCTTTGACTATGACTATGTGTGACAAGACAATCTTTGACTATGACGGTGCGCAAGAAGTGGGTCTCTGACGATGACTATGTGCGACAAGTCAGTCTTTGACTGCGACTATGTGTGACAAGTCTATTGTTGACGATGACTATGTGTGACAAGTCAATCTTTGACTATGTCTGTGAGTCAGTCTTTGACTATGTGTGCAAGTCAATCTTTGACTATCAATTGTCTGCATGAGATGGATGACATGAGCATGCCTTCTCCATCAATCTTTGACTACGTGTTGAAGTCCACCTTTGACTGTGTTCAAGTCGGTCTTTGACTGTGTGCAAGTCAATCTTTGACTGTGTGTGCAAGTCCGTCTTTGACTATCAATCTTCTGGCACTCCTGCCTGCGAAGGATGACATGTACAGTCAATCTTTGACTGTGTGCAAGTCAATCTTTGACTGTGTGCAAATCAATCTTTGACTGTGTGCAAGTCAATCTTTGACTGTGTGCAAGTCAATCTTTGACTGTGTGCAAGTCAATCTTTGACTGTGTGCAAGTCACTATTTGACTGTGTGTGCAAGTCCGTCTTTGACTATCAATCTTCTGGCACTCCTGCCTGCGAAGGATGACCCATACAATCAATCTTTGACTGTGTGCAAGTCAATCTTTGACTGTGTGTGCAAGTCCGTCTGTATCATTTTTTGACTGTGTTGCAGTCAATCTTTGACTGTGTTCAAGTCAGTCTTTGATTGTGTGCAAGTCGAGCTTTGACTCTGGGTGCAACGTCAGTCTTTGAGTATCAATCTTGTGGCAGTTCTGCTGCATGAGAGGGACGACACATGCGAGCCTGCTCTATCAATCTTTGACTATTGTGTTCAAGTCGATCTTTGACTGTTTGTTCTGTATGACGCTGACATGTCAGGTTGCTGTCTGTCCTTCTTTTTCTTTGTCGTTTTTAAAAAACAACAGAATTTTTTCATTTCTGTGCGTTCTTTGTCTGTGTATATGCTTTTCTTGTGCGTGTGACGATGACGGTACAGGTGCTGGGAGTGCCCGTGGACAGTGTGCTCGTGGAATCAACTGGCGTGATAGGCCAGCAAATCAAGAAGGTAGGTAATTTACGCAGAAAGGGGAAAAGGCCCCACTGGTGCTATGTTTGTGGTTAGAAAGCATGCACCTCGTGAGAAAAATTGGTCGGATTCACTCTTTCTTAGCATGAAGTCAATGTCAGTGGGGACCGCCACTTGGGCTTCCCAAGGTCCAAAACAAAAGATCTGGCAAAACCTGACCACCAGTCGGGACCCCAGCCGGCCGAAAATCGCGGCAAGGTTTGGGCCTATCGGACCCCCACTGAACGGGGGGGTACTGAAGGGTGCGCAGAATTTCGAGTGTCCCAAGTTTGGTGACTTTTTATTCTCATTTGCGATGGCAACAAAATAGAAAAAAAATCAGAGACGTAGGGTAGGCCCCAAGTTTTATCAGGGGAGAATATTAGGAAAATGAGCAAAAATTCCGAAAAATTCAAAAGAAAGGAAAAAATTGCCCGTGAATTTCGGCGTGAAAACGAATTTTGCACACAAAGTAGTTACAAATCGAATACTTATTTTAGTGTGACTTTGCAAGCCTGACCTCGCAGGCTGGGCAGGCCTATTGAGCCCAAAAGCATCGGTTGAATTCGGTTCGACAAGAGAAGATCCGCCGAACTGGTGGTTTCTTCAAAAAAAAAAGGAAAAAAAAAGAAAAAGAAAAAAAGAAAGGGAAGGGCTTTGAGGTTCTGAACCCAAAATCTCAGAGATTAGGGGGAAACCTTGACTGTGGATAGAACGCACCTGGATAGAACGCGCGGTCATTATTGCTGTATTTAGACTGAAAAGTGGCCCCGAAACGCACGGTCATTATTGCTGGCTGAAAAGTGGCCCCGAAATACAGCTATAATGATCGGTGATTCTATTTGGGTGAAGGCGGAAGGGTTGAGGGAGGCGAGGGCTTCCAGAACCCTTGGGTTCAAGGATCGTGAATGGAGAGAGTAGGGGGTTTTTAAACCCTGGTGCTAAGGGCTAGGGTTTCTAAACCCAATGCTCAGGGTTGTACAAGCGCTGGTATTGATGCTGACCCCTGGGTTTAAAGTTGCATTGTGCGCCAAGCTTTTCCGAACCGCCGGCGGCCCACATTTTTCCTTTTTTGGCTGACGCCGCCAGCCATTGTGGTCCGGCAGGCCCGAGGTGCGAAATTTTCGGAGTAGGTGACAGGCAAATCTCCACGAGGCTGGGGCCGTGTACTCGCGGTTTAAGGACTATTGATCCAAGGGGGTAGGGTTAGAAATCACAGGGTCTAAGGCTTGGGGGTTCTGAGTCCTTGGGTTTAAACTGAGGGCTTTGGGTTTCTAAACCCCTAGATTGAGGGCTTTGGGTTCTAAACCATACTTGCGGCGCACACCGGTGCGCCATGCGGTGCGCATGCGGAAATTAGTGATGCACGCGTTTTGTTTTTTTTCCAGCGGTGTGTGTGTGTGTATACACGCGCGCGCGCGCGCGCGCGCGTGAGAGAGAGAGAGAGAGAGAGAGAGAGAGAGAGCAAGTAAAAGGCCCTTTCACGTATATAAGAAGGCCCCTGTATGTATTACGAAGGGTGCCTGAAGCAAACTGGCAAGGAGCCATGAGCGAGCACCGAAGGGCGCCGCGCTGTGGAACTTACAATCAAGCGAAAGAGGGCTAGCATTATATGCTCTAGATTCGAATTCAGGTCTCTGTTTGAACAGTTATGGGTCACTAACTTAGTTAGGCCATGCTGCACGTGATTCTCAGGGGCTTTGCTCCACTACTCACCAAATGTGCAAATTCAAATGAATCTTCTGCTAGAACATGGAACCATACGCCGCCGTATGTTTTGTCTTTTGTGCATGTGGTGAGTAGTGGACTGAGGCCCTTATGGCGACTGCACGTGTCCTAAGAAAAACGAAACGAAAGAAAAGAGAATCGCGTGCAGAGACCAGCAGGGCGTTGCTGAGTTAGTAACCCATAACTGTTGAACACAGACCTGAATTCGAATCCACAGCATATATTGTTGGCCCGTTTGTGCACTGCTGTAGATTCAATGATTGTCTCTGCTTGGGAATGGGTCCTTGCAGATTTCCCGCAGGGGACTTTGAAAAAAAGTGACTTAATCTAATGAGGATGTGCACTCACGAGTACACACATGCACACACAGCTTTGTGGTCTGAAGCAGCCCCAATTTTTTTGTTTTCTTTTGCAGTTTGAATTGTTTAAAGGGGAGGTGTCCTTCGAGACATCTGTTAAAATTGGAACGAGACAGAGAAGATTAGCATGGCCCCTGCGCAAGGAGGACACACATAAATCGAGAAATGGTCCAAAAAAAAAAAAGAAAAAAAAAAAAAGAATTTCTTAAATGGTCCAAAGCTGTGTGTGCATATGTGTACATGTGAATGCACATCCTCATTAGATTAAGTCGCTTTGCAGTTTGGCCACGACACCCTGCGCTTCTTGATGTTCTTTGCTAAACCCCTATTGAGAGGGTGCGATGCATCACGTGCGCGCGCATACGTGCGCAACTTGTTTGCGCACAAGATGCGCCACAAGTATGTTCTAAACCCTTAGATTGAGGGCTTCGGGTTTCTAAACCCCCGTAGCGGGTTTCTAAACTCTTAAGGGCTTTCCGTTTTGAAACCCCAGGTTCTAAACTGTGGTTTTACGGGGCTTAAGAATTTCTAAACCCCTGGATTTAAAGCCTAGGATTTCTAAACCTAGAGTTTACGGCCAGGATTCCTAAAGCTCGATCGAGGGCTGAGTTTAAAAACTGTAAGTTCTCAACACTTTGGTGTAGGTATACCCTAACTCTGACCACCCCTTCAGCTCTTCTGCTATTTGAACAACTGTATGCTCTTTGAACCCAGGTCTGATGTGGTTAAGACTGAGAGTTAAAAGTGGTAGGCAGTTAGGGTAACTAATCCTTTGGAAGTGGGGTTTTAGAAACAAAGTCTATAAAAACTCCAAGCATTAAACGCTGAGTTAACTCTGGGTTTAGAAACTACAAGGTGGCTGCAGTATCGACAGTTTCCGCAGAATCGTGCTTAGGATTGTCATTTGTCTGTTTCCGCTGAAAGAGAGCATTTTCCAATGCATGTGCCCGAGTAGTACTTTCTCGTGGCAACCATAGCCGCGTGGACGGGTCCCAGCTAATCCTGCATGTCCCTGCATGTTGATGCTTTGTCGATTATCCTTCGAAAGTGGGGTTTTAGAAACAAAGCCTTTAAAATCTCCCAAGTATTAAAAGTTAACCCTGGGCTTAGAAACTACAAGGTGTAAGCACATCAGGACTTAGAATCGGGGGTCAAGAAACTATTGGCCCTCAGTCGAAGAGGGTCTAGAACTAGTAGCCGTAAACTCAAGGTTTAGAAACCCCCGTAAGCCTTAAACCCAGGGGTTTAGCACTTAGGGATAACATACTGCAGGTTTTAAGGGGCAGGTGCGATTGGTGGTACGTTCATGCTTGGAAACCATGACCTGGACACAAAGTTGTGCAGGTCCGTGCCTAACTGGCGTGGAAGTAGCACTAGTGGGCCCTAGCTCTAGGACCTAGGGTGGTCGGTGTACGATGATATCTCCAGAGTCCTTACTGGTGTGAAAAGGTGGGACAAGACGCCCTTGGATTTCTCCAATCCGGTACCCTGATTTAGGAATTGAACCCCAACCCCTCATTGTGAGGCCATGTGAGCTAGGGCCCACTAGTGCTATTTCCAGGCCAGAGGGCCATTAGGTCCTGAACTTGGCCCTCCACAGGCAGAAGAGGGCCATTATTAGGTCATAAACTTGGCCGGGAAGAAGCGCAGAGGCCCAGGCAGGCTAGACTGGGACCCGGTAGGGCGCGGCTGTAACTGGAACCATCTGAGCAGGGACCCAACTCTGGTGCTTAAACCACCAGTACTTGGCCCAGCAATGGATGCCGAGCCTCAAAACGCCCTGCGCGCGAAATTTTGCCAAACAGCGAGCACAGCGTTTTTTATTACTTTTCTTTTGGCTGGCGCCTCCAGCCGTTGTGGTCCGGTAGTAGCCCCGAAGCCCACAAAACGCGGCACGTTTAACGTGGAAGGCCCGCGGCCGATGTATTGGCCAAGTACTGGTGGTTTAAGGAAAGGCCGGGGCCGGTCAAACATGCACGTTCGGATTCCAGTTCCAGTTCTGGTTCCGGTCCCGGTCCCTGTCCAAGTTCCAGTTCTGGTTCTTGCTACGGTTCCGGTTCTGGTCACAGTGGTGCCCTCCTAGATCTTTCCAGGTTCTGGTCCTGGTTCTTGTTCTGGTTCGTGTTCCGGTCCTGGTTCCAGTTCGGGTTAGAGTCCCGGTTCCAGTTCCGGTTGGAGCCCCGGTTCCAGTTCCGGTTTTCGGTTCCGGTTCGGTTTACGGTGCAGGTTACACCGCTGCCCTACTGGATCCTCCCAGGTTCAGGTTCTGGTTCTTTTTCTGGTCCTGGTTTGAATTCTGGTTCCAATTCAGTTACAGCAATGCCCTACTGGATTGCGACATGCCGCCAGATTTCTAAGTCAAGCTGCACGAGCAGGAGAGGGCATCACCTAACATCCAGCCAGCACCATTCATACCTGGGCTGAGGAAGAAGAAGGGGGCCATAGCCTTCGGACAGTGAGGTGTAGAAGGCATTGGGATGGGCTTAGGGTACCCCCCCCCCACCCACCCAAAAGAAAAAAAAAGAAGAAGAAAAGGAAAAAAGGATGGGCTTAGGCCCTAGGGTCAATGATAGAGTAGGTGTGGTCATGATGACCACTGGTAGAGAGGCAAGCAGAATTCCGTCCGAATACGGCGTAATAAAAACTCTTATATCGTCATTACCACACCTCACTAAATGATTAGTCGGGAAGGAAAGTTTTATTGTTGTTGGATTATTGTTTGTTAGACTCCGTAGATGCGAGAAGAGGGCTTACTTTTCATTATCAAAGACTCGCCCAACGAAGAGGCTTCGTTCAATGTCATCTCCTCTTGTGCTGATGTGGTTGTTGCTGTGTTATTTCTGCTGCTGTCGTGTTCCACTGAATAGAACGTCTTGGTAATCATGTCTGTATTTTGAGCAACTTTCAGTCAAGGTACATCTACAATGACCTTATATTCAAGGCAGGTGACGTGTGAAGATGGTAGCCCCGCTGCCAACTGCATGCTTGCGATCTGAGTTTCTGCTGTAGTAGGGGTTCCTTGCACCATGCTGGAGAGGTCTTTTTCTTTTTAAATTATTATTATCATATTATGTATAAATCCATCAATCGGATTCAATCCCCATAGTGTAGATCAGTGCCTGATTTTTTCTTTGTTTCTTTTTTCAATTGCGCACGAACTTATGGTCACTTGTTACCTCTTTTTGTGCGTGAAAAAAAAAAAAAAAAACGCATTGCGCGCACGAGCTTATGGTCGCTTGTTTTCTCCTTTTGTGTGTGTTGAAAAAAAAAAAAAAAACCATTGCATGTGTCCTGCAGACGGAGCTTATCAGCGCACTTCCGAAGCTCGCAAGTTTGCTTTCCTCTTCTGCAGAGGCGTAAGTTCTAAGTAGCTCATTACTTTCGTTTTTTCCTCCAAATTCTGTTTTCCCTTGGTTTTTTTTTTTTTTTTTTTTTCCCCTTATGCCGCTGATTACTTTGCTAAGTTTGCTAAGCTTGCTCGTTCCAGTTTCAAAATGCGTTTTTTTTTTTTTTTTTGCTGATCCGCCTGGGTTACCTTGTTTTCCCGGGCAGCACGGCTGTGCAAGAACCAGGGAAGGTCCCAGCAAAACAAAAAAAAAATCCAAAAAACGGTTTAAAACCGAAAAAAAACTATGTTATGCAGAAAAATAAACTGAGCAACTTTTGCCTCAGGGTCACATCGCAATTCATTACCAAAAAATTGAAAAAATAAATACAATTTTGTTTTTCTTTTTTTTCTTTTTTGGCCCGGCCGGGCAAGTGCTGCCGGGCCACTCTGGTGGCCTAGTGATCTAAGGTATAGCTCATACTTGGCTTGTCCCAGTCTCCAAAGGCGTTTGTTTTTTTCCTGAAATTCGGGTCTTTCTTTTTTCAAGTTTTTTTTTTTTTTTTTTTTTCCCTTTTTTTACAGTGCGGGAGTGCTTGTCATTCAGCTGGTAGTATCTGGATTCGAAACTGAGTAAGTCGAGTTTATATTTCAACAGTTTTTTGGGTGTACCAACTGAGCTAGGCCCGCTCATTCTCGAAAACCCCTGCTCTGCTCGGCAGTGATGGTGAGTGCCATTACACGCTCTCTCAGCAGGAGTGCTCTGCTTTTTTGACTATGACGGGCTGCTGCGGAGTGATTCCCCTCCCCTCTTCGTCGTCGTGCCCGGCCTGTTGATGCAATCTGCACGCAAAGTTCGCATGAATCTAGCCAGCAAGGTGATCAGGTTCATGCTAATTAACAGGCACAGCACTGGCAGCGTCTGGCACTATCTCCTGCTTGTATTGTGGTTAGCTTCCTAACCCTGGTTAGAACTCATATCATCCCTGTATGAATCTAGCCAGCAAGGTGATCAGGTTCATGACTCCCAAGTTCTAACTAAGGTTCGGACGATTCAGAGGGATGCAGGTGTGTACTCTGCAAGAAAGCTGACCACCTTGGTGCCCTTTCCCGGCAACACCCCCCCCCTCCTGTCTCTTATACACATCTAGATGTGTATAAG